TGGCCCAGGGTGTGGGCTTTGGCAAACTATGGAGTCCCAGGTCACTGCAGGTCAGATCTTCTCTCATCTGTATGGCCATCAGGGTTCAGCTGGTTCTGAAACCATCTTCTTGAAGGCAGACAACTCCTGCAGAGTGGAGGGTCTGTTTCTCACTGGCGATTGTCTACTAACCTGGGGGTCCAGTAACAGGAAGGTTAGGGAAGCAAGAACAGAACAGTGGCCCTGTAACCACACTATGCTATCATTGAAGACATAGTCCCTGGAGAAAGCCCCTACAGGAACTTGTTTCTAAGAGAGAGAAACTAGCAATGGACCTATAAAAACAGTAAGTAGAATTTCCAACGGAGGTTACTATAAAGTAGGATGATCGACATTGGGGGGGGGGTGTTGCTTTGCTTGAAGGAAAGCCTCCCAAGGAGGTGACCTTTGAGTTAAGATCCAAAGGTTGAGAGAGCCGTGCAAATATTTGTGGAAAGAGTGTTAGAAGCAAAAAGTGCGAGGCAGGAGCAAACATGACTTGGTTAAGAACAGAGGGCCGCCGCTGTGGCTGGAGTTTGCTAAAGAAGGGGAGCAAGGAAGGAAGTGGGAAGGAAACCTAGAGGGGCCAAAGCACACAGGTCTTGCAGGTATTAGCTAAGAAGTTGGCAATAAGAATGCATTAGAGAATTTTCTAGGAAGGAAGTGACACAATGCGATTACAGCAACATCACTTTGGCAGGTGAGCAGGGGCGGTCTACAGGGTTTAAGCGGGCCTCCCAGTTGCCCAGACAAGACACAATGCAGGCTTAGCCTAGGAAGCAGAAATGGTAGACCTAAGACATAGTGTGCTGATGGAGCTGCAGAAACTTAATATTTTCTTAGGTTTTAGGTTTCCTTCTTTCCCCCATCCCTGCCTCCCTCCCTTCCTTCTTTCTGTCTTTCTCTCTCTTCTCGTCTTACTGAACATCTGAACATAATAAATAAACTGGCTTTGGACATATGTACAGCTTTGCATGCAATGATGAATAAATTCAAATTTTTCCCAAACATACATGAAGCGTTGATACAAAATGACTGCGGACTAGTTCGCAAAACAAGTCTCTACAAATTTCAAATGTGAATTTGAAGTGTAAATAGAAGGAGGCAAACCTCATTTGATTGCGCCTCACTATGGAGCAATGCTGTTAAAGGGAGAGCCACAGCCCTACCACCTCTTACACGCCGCCACCTGGACTAGCTCGTAGAATGAGAGGCAGGCTGAGCGGGCAGGTGGATCTCTATAACACCGAAGGCCTGTGGGCTCTGAGGGGCTCTTGTTTCTCAGGCTTCGACTTGCACCTGGGACTTAGGGCATTTAGATGGAGACGCATGGAGGCAAGACATGATCCCATTGACTTTTCCTTTGAGAAGGCAAAATGAATGTTTTCTCCAGGAAATGCCCTAAATTAATTTCCATTTCTTTCCCTAACCACCCACCCTTCACCCCCATTCTAGCTGAGCATTTAAGATGACCTCTAAAGTTAGTGGACCAGCTACTCCATCTTGCTGGGGTTCTGTCATTCATACAGGGTACACACATTATTATTAAACTCTCATATGGCTTTTTTCCTTACCTGCCTGATGCTTGTTTGGTTATTTGCCACCTAAAAGAGCCAAGAGGGATACACCGTGACCTCCTTTACATCACAACAGTCCCAACCCTCATAAGCCCTAACCACGAGGGTAAATACTGGCTCTGTTTCATTATTTCCTTGACTCATTTCAAAACATTTGAAACATAGTAAAGACTCAATTAAAATATATTAAATGAACGAGGAATACCTGCTAGGATCAATTTGCCAAAGGAATCATATAGCTACAATGGATGGTTTTCTTTTCCTTGAGGTACCATTAGCTTACAATACTACTTAGATTTCTGGTATCTAATTTCTAGCCCCAACAACTGTAGATACACCCACCATCAAATGTGCAGTCAGCACCCGTCACCACCCATTCTTCCCTTCTGGGACCTACCATTCTATGCTTAGTTTCTAAGGGCTTCCTTTGGCTTTGGTTTTTGGCTCTGTTACTTTTCTCTCCTTTAGATCCACACACGAGTGAGATCACCTAGTACTTGCTTTTCTCCTTCTGACTTATTTCCACTTAGCATAATCCCCTGAAGGACCATTTATGTTGCTATAAATGGTAAAATTTCATCTTCATATGGCTGAGTAGTATTTCACCGTGTGTGTACACATAGCTACTAACTCCCTCCATTCATCGTTAGCCACTGAGTCATTTCCATAGTTCTACTTGCTCTCATCCTCTATCTGCAAATCTGTTCTCAAGTCTGTATTGTGTTTTTTTCTTTCTGCGTAGCTTCAGTCGACATACTCCCTCATAATTGTGACTCCCCCTTATAGTTTTTTCCTCATGCTTTCTTCCTGTATTTAGTCCTCACCAACAATTACCTAATTGAACTTTTTTTGTCTAGTTCAAATTTCTAGGATTATTTGTTGGACTGATTCACCCATCTGGACATTCAAAATGTTCTGGCAGAGTACACCTCCCCCCATTAGGGCCTTCTCAATATTCCTTCACTCTCATCCTGAAAATGCCTCCAGTTTCCCTGGGAGTTTGTTAGAGATGCTGACATTGGATCCCACTTCAGACCTACTACATCAAAAACATTTGAACAAGATCCCAGGTGATCTGTGTGCACTGTTAAAGTGTGAGAAGTACAGCTTTACACTTCTCAGCTCTCAAAATTGGCTGCATCTAAGAGACATCTGGGGATTAAAAAGAAAGTACTGATGTCTAGGTCCCTCCCACAGAGATTCAGATTTAATTTTTCTGGAGTGCAATTTGGCATTCAAGGATCTTGGATGATTCCAATGTGGAATTAAATTTGAAAAATCTCTAGTCCTGTGTCACCACTGACCAGCTGTGACGCTGAACCAGTTGCTTAGTTTCTTTCTAGGCCAGATTTTTCACTCTTAAGCGAAGATCATATAGCCACTCTACAAACTCCAAGTCATTCTAAGGGTCAAATATAACATGTGAAACTCCTTGAAACATGTGCCTATAAATCTGCTATCACTTCTGTTCTTTAAACCCATCTTGTTATTAACTGAGGATTCAAGGGAAAAGCACATTATCAAATATGAGAATTTGCTAACTCCTGTGACCAAAGGGCACCCTTGGACCCTTGAACTTGCTTCTCTAAAGGCAATCCGAGTGCACAAAGGCAAAGCTAACTCTTAATGTAAGAGAATTTTAATAGAATTAGTGTGCAGAGAGAGAGAGAGAGAGAGAGAGAGAAGTATGTTTCCCCCTAATTACCCACACCTTCCTGTGTAAGTGTTACAGGGTAGCCCAGAGTGGACTGGGCCGCCTGTCTGTGGGGCCTCACCCACCAACTGACACAAAAGGGTCAATAACGGGTTTATTTAAAAAGGGGAAAGGAATAGGAAACAACACACGGAAAGAGAGCGGGATACAAAGTAACTGGAATACCTTATGGCTAGGCTGACTGAACACACCAAGTCACGCGGTTGGGAGAGCAGCTTCCCTAAGCGAGCCAGTGTGAGACAGAGAGAGCATTAGCGCCAGAGCGAGCGACACAGAGGCGGCGGCGTGAGTGCCCTATTTATCCCCCCCAAATGTCCCAGAATCCATTCCTGCTAGCTCCGCCCTTGGGTCCTGCAGTTCTCTCCCTGGTACTGCTGGGAGTTGTAGTTTTCAATCATTGGAGTAATATGTAGGGTCCAGAAAGCTGGACCCGCAGAGTTCCTTTAGGACAGCCTTCCCCTTAACATAAGTACCCAGCCTTACAGGGTTAGCCTGAAGGGAGATCACTGAGGTCTAAAAAGCATGCAATAAATCTAAGGCACTTTTGGGAAGGGAACAATAGAAAAGGGGTTCAAGAAACGGGTCCCAGATAGCTGAGACAAAAGGAGAAGCTCAAAGTACAAACCACAGTAATGGCTATCATTGTCAACCTCCCATCTCTCACTCATGCCTTTCCATATATCTCCTCCAAGTGTTCCAAATCCCTAATGTAAGTCGAAAGCCTAGAAGCAAGCGAGCTCTTCTCCAAGTGTCTCCCCAGCCCACCTGCCTTCCTTGTTTTCTAACTTCACCTGGCTGCTCAGCCCCATCCAACTTAAAGCTAATATAATTAAGTTTTGCCTGAGTCAAGATGCTCTTACCACATTTTACCTATCATGTATTTGAAGGTTCCAGAGATTGAGAAATGTCCCAAAGGCCGTTAAACAAATTATTTACCGAATGCCATTTAATACTGCGGGGAAGACTGTACTCAGAATTTCTGCAAAGTGGGAGAGAGATTATCTACAACTTCAAATAGGGACCCATGGGGATGTATAGCCAGGACTGAGGTGAAGCAGAGGATGGAAAATCACTAGGTGGAATTTATGTAGGAACGGCAGGAAGACTGATTATAGGGCAAGGGAATTCTCCATAAACTGGATTAGCAGGATTCTTTCGTAAAATCGGGCTCAGTAAGTCAAGGACAGGGGCCTGGTCTGGAAGAGCCTGACTTAAGTTTGCTCCAGGAGGGAGTTCCTCAAGGTGCAGTCAAGGACTGAAAACTGGTTTCTCCGTAGGCAGCCCTGGCTGACCCAAGATCCCTAGTGCTTGACGTTAACAAGTAAACCTCCTACGACGCAATCTGGCAGGCGCTGCACATCCTACTGGCTGCCTTCCAGCCTCAAATCAGATCAACCCCAAATCCAAGCCTTGGCTCGCTTATCTACCCTGAGTCTGCAGGATGTAAGCTTGCCCGGGCAAGAATCGCCTCCACCGAGGAGCTCAGGGCGGGGCACACGCACCTGCCGCGCGCCAATCACAGCCCCGCGCGCGGGGGCGCAAGCGCCACGGTCCTGGGCGGGGTCTCGTCTCTAGCCAATCCTCTGCGAGCTGTCCGCCTTCCAGTGCTCTGGTTGGCTTCCCTGGAATGACGTAAAGACATGCTCGGCCTATGGCAGCGGAGCCGGCTGGGCCGCGGAGATTGGCGGAAGTGGGGTGGGCGAGGTGATCAGCAGTGCGGAGGAGCGGCTCGCCGCGGGTGCCGGGGACTGGAGCTGAGCGGCGGCCTTTGCTTCCCCTCACTGCAGGCGTCCGGGAGCATGACGCGCTTCGCCCTGACGGTCGTCCGGCAGTGAGTATTGCTGTTGTGGGATTTTCTCCTTCTCTACCCTGAGTGGTTTTGGAGCGGGTATAGGTCCTGTCATCCCCTCTCTTCCCTTCTAGCTCACCCCTGGGTGGGCTGGCCCGGATCTGCTATTTTTCCAAGCGTTTCGGTCCGCGCTATCACATTTCCACCCCTCCTCCCCGCGCTGCCCAGCCGGGAAGGCAGGTCTTAAATAGCATCAGTCCAGCGTTGCAGCTCCAGAGTGAGGTCTGGAGGCGCCCATGATCATGGTTCCCAGCTACTTGGTGCAAAGCTGAAGCAAAATAATCTCATCTCCAGACTTCTCTGTGCATCCATTTCGTTTCCCAGCGTATTCCAAAGAGTATGCACCTGCAGCCTCCTCTGAGGCTGCTGTTTTTGATGTCGGCTGCCTTCAGCCATCCCTTATCCCACCTCATTTGCCAGGATAGTCAGCCCCCACCCCCACCCCGCCCTCATGCATATATCTGAGATTTATTTCTTCCTCCAGAGATTACATTACTGGGAGAGAAAAGAGGTTGCCCCCCACCCCAACCCCCAGCTGACCAATCATTTTATTATTATGGTTGTAACTAAATGCTGATAATAAGACTTTAGATCTCTTGTCTTGTGTTCCCTTTCAGCATTCATTAGCCAAATGCCATTGGGAAGTGAACTCAGAATGGTTAGGCGCACAGATTTTTTTTTTTTTTAAGCAAGATAGACCTAAGTTAGAATCTGGGCTCAGGCTGGGTCCTTGCAACTTGAGCTTCAGTTAACGGACTTAATCTTTTCCACCTCGGTTTCACAATGTATAAAATGAGGATAACAATTCGACCTGCCTGACCAAGTTAGTGTGAGAATGAAATGGAAACGAGGTAAAGTTTGTAAGGGAAGGTAAGACATCGATCTTGAGAATCCAGCAACTTCTGTTTCATCAATAATGCAGAGTCTTATACAAATGCAGGCAATCCTCAGTAAATTACCAGGTCAGCATTTTGAATAGGTCCTTTGTGCCAGCGGACTGGCCACACGCATAAATAAGACACCATTTTTGTCCAGTGGGATTCACAGAAAACACCAGGCTCCTCAAGCTGACTTGAACTGCTGTTTTTACTGTCTTTCTTCCTTCACAGGAAGATCTTGGCAGTCACCTGAAGTTGAGTTCCTATCTCTTCTCCCCTTCTCCATTTTATAGAATATTTTATGATGATTTTATGACTTCCTTAAAGTCTAGAAGTAATCAGTAGCGGAACAGGAACTAGAATCCTGACTGCCCTTTCTTCCCATGATGGCTCACCTTCCGGGCACCTTCATTCAGCCAGCGTGGTGGTTGACACACAGCTGAGCCTCAAAAGTTGTAGGAAATCTGGGTTAAACAACCCTGGAAATATAAGGTGATCCTTATTTAGAGTCTTATTCCAAATAGTTCTGTGATGAATATGAACTTTGATCTTCCTTGCGTCTTACAGAGTTTGATTTCTCAGTTGATTCCTCATAGAAATACTAGGAGGAATTTATTATGTGCTAAGTGTTGTAATTAAATTCTAACCAGCCAGCCAGGGAAAGACTGCTCTTCAGTTTGCAGGTGAGGAAATTGAAGCACGGAGGACAGGTGACTTAAAACCACATGGCAAATTGGAGTGGAGGTGGACTGGAGCCAAAGCAACCATCCTCTCAACCGCAAGTTCTGCTCCTGCTTTCTTTAAAATCTAGCACGTGCAGGTTGCTTAGATATAAGCAGCCATTTTAGAGGCTAATTTTGATTTGTCTTACAGTTTATAAAATTGTTTGCTCTGTTCAGTCTTACTCATGGAAAGTGGAGCAAAGTGTGGAAATAAATGATAGGGTGATGGCTAGCTCTTCTACTGAACCATCCTTTTTTCCCTTCAGAGTTGTCAAAGCTAAAAATTGGTGATCCTTTCAGGAAGAGAAATTATTTTCAAACTGAATTGAGACGAATCACCGTAGTTAACTATTATGATACTTACTGGAATTGGCTGTTGGAAGAATTGAAAATAGGCCCTGGTGTATTCTATTACATGAGTATGTATCACTCTGATATAGATGTGTTGGGAAACTGAGTCAATGATTAATTTTTAAAATTTAAAGATTTAGATACTTGTGTGGGACAGTACTGTTTCAGTTAATGCAAGAAAACTTTAAAAAATGATTTATTTTCAAGCAAATCCTGTGCTGTTACTGTATGTATATTTCCCTTCACATTTGGAAGTAAAACTACCAGTGCACATCATTTTTGAATAGAATGTGCAGAATTTCAAAGTTCATGTCAACCGTTACTATTAAAGTAACTTCTCATGATTTCATAGCACAGCATTGTTGACAACTCCAACATGTAGGCTGGCGGTTCCAGCAAAAGATCTAGAAGGTCCTAGTGCCCTTGTAAGGCTATCCATAGGTGTTTGCAAAACCACCCATTGTGCTTCCATTTCTACCAGCCTCTTGAAACATTTTTTTAATCAACTAAATTTAATTGACTTTTTAGTGACTTAAATATGAATTAGTGATTAATAACAAAACAGATTGGCTGTCTTCCTCTGGGCAGTTATTTTTGTTGAAAGGCAGTCATTGTTCTGGTCGGTCATAAAGCAAACAAGAGAAACATTGGTCCCCTGTAAACTTTTATAAAGCTAGAAGGAACTGTTGAGTGACTTTTTTTTTTTTTTCTGGGAATGAGGCTGATCACTTAGGGGAACTCCTGCAGCTAGGATTAATTGATATATAAACAAAGATGCATCAAGAGTTGGGCCTCTTACATTTTTTCCATCTCAAACCATCTACTTTGAAGCCTTTGAAATCTGCATTTCAAATAACTTAGTGTAGAGGAATTAGGGTAAAGTTGTATTCGTTAAACATCAGGTGAGGCTTTATATTTCCATGTACACTAAACCATATCTATTTTGAAAAACTTGCCCCCAACTTTCCATAATTTGTCAACTATATGTCGGTTGGATTTGAATTCCTTAAGAGGAGATGATCGGGAAATGAGGCTTTCTATGTGATTTGGAAGGAAAGGTCATGGATTTTAAGCCAAAATTAGCAAAATAAAATACCTTTCAAACGAACAGCAGTGGGATAATCTACAGAATGAGTGGACGCAGTGTGAGGAGCTGGGGAGGTCAGGTCATAAGACGTGGTGGCAGCATGTGGGGTTTTGCAGAGCTGGTGTTCTGTTTGGGAAAGAGATCCTACCTCATGATTTTGCCAATGAGTGGTGTTACTCCTGACTGCTCCAAATATATATATTCCTCTGACCTTTCAGCTCTCTCCACGCTGCTGCTGTCACCAGCCAAACTGTGGTTAAGGAAAGCAGATTAATCGTCAAATGATTTTAGCCTCCTATTTTTCTTTCCCACTCCCCAAACAGACTTTAAACAGTTATGTCAAGGATTTATACAGACTCCTTGATATAGCGGATAAAAGCTATAAAACTAAACATTTATGAAAGTTTTTGGAAAAATAATCTATTTCTAGATTCTTACGCTAACATTTACAAAGTGATTTGAAGGCACAGATGCCCTATAGAAAGCCAATGGTCATTACTATTCCAGCGTCTGTGGTAGTTTCTTCTGACAGCGCTAAATGGAATTCTTCACTCTGTTATAGCTATTTTTTTCTCCATTTACTGAAAATGGAGATGGTGGGGCAGTGCCCTTATAAAGTGAGTAAGTGCTGGATTCTATTTTTATAGGATGACATTCTGATACCTCTTATTCTCAGTCTTTTATCAAGCCAGCTATTAGGACTGAATAAAAGCCTTGAGTTAAGCTTTTCAGCAAGCATCCAAAAAATAATCATGTTTTTGCTGAATTTGTGTAAAAGATCTGAACTCACAAAATTATCACATTTCTTGCCATCCTTTATTTTAAATCTTTATTATAAATGATTAGAGAGTTTATAACTCACATAAAATGGGCAAAACGATATGAGGTTCAAAATAACTACAGGATGGGGTTTTAAGTTTTGCTGGAAATTGAATTGGCTGTAAAGCTACTGTCTAAAGAAGATGTCACTCATATTTAAACAGCTGTTCCCTTTTTTTCTTGGTCTCAACAAGATTATGAGGCTGAGATAGGAAGTGAACTAACTTACGGGAACACTTTCTGCTTTAGGAATGACAGTTAACGCCATTATCGCCCTGAACGCTTTACCCCTCCAAATGGTTGAGATTAAAACCTTTCACATCCATTTCATATGCTTTTGGAGCATAAGAAATATTTTATGAATATTAATAAAAATAATATTGAAAATTAGTGGTAAATAGTCCGGTGTAATTTCACCCTTAGTCTTCTGTTTACCTTCTCACCCCTTGGGTGGCAAGAGTTGTGTGTGTGTATGTACCTTTCCAGTGCCTGTGCAAACCCAAATGTTTATTCTTCACTCCACCTTTTAAAAAAAAGCATTCTTTTTATATCACTCTGCATCATATTTTTGACTTAATATGTCTTTGTGATCTCCCCTTGCCTTTACATATAATCCCTGTCTTTTTAGGGGATATGACTACATGGTATTCCATCATGTAGGGATGCCACTGTTTATTTGTCATTGTAACCAGTCTCATGGTAATGGATGTTCAGGTAGTTTATCATCTTTTGCTATAGAATAATATTCTGGTAAATATTCTCTTAAGTATGGATGGATGGAGATATTCCTAGGAATAGGATTGGATCAATCTTCTGGTTGCTTCAAAATTGCATTGGCTTTTTAAGTCCTCAAACCTCAATTCTTTAGCTTGGTCTGCAAGATAGTCTCAGCAGGACAAAATGGAAGAGCTTGAGAAAAATCTCGGGACTGTTTGATGGTGGGGATCGGAAGGCATGCCCGATTCTTTCCCACACTGTTCGCTGCCCCAGACCTTATTCATGTGTTCTGACCACACGCAGGTGGACTGGCATGTTTCGGTCCTGTTGCCCGTGGAAATAGTTTTGATCATGCATTTACTCTACCAAGATTATTAGCAAAAACCAAAGGTATGCTTTTAATAGAGTTTTTCCTACCTGCAGTTCATTTAAGATTGGTTTTTGATCTATACATTTTACTTTGAGGTGGTTTGAAATTCTTAGTTCCTCAGTTCAATATGTTGAGCATAGACAATTGAAAATACTAGTTTAGAGTAACTTGGGGTTAGATTTTGAAATATATAAGGAAGTTCCAATGCTGTTTGTTGTGAATATCTTTGTTAACCTTTGGTTGGTGATTTTTTTTCTCATCTCAGAACCGTTTGGTAATAAAGGTCCTCCCCCTTCTCTGTTTTAGTGGAGAAACAAGACTTAACAAGGAGAAAATAATTCAAGGTTGGTATACTCTCTTGTTTTGGTTCTCTCTCTTAGTGTTAATGTGATATGTGGTAATCAGATTTGATGGGATGGGGTCGCCAGGGGGCAGTTCTGTATTATGAGTTGGGATTACAGAATTAAAATATCACAGTAACAGAAATGGGATCCCAGCAGAAGGTAATCAAGAGGAATAAGTCTCCTAAATGAACTGGATGTATAGACAGCACCCTGATTGTTCATTGGTAGCATCAAAGTTGCCCAGTCAGCTGATTAAATAGTTATATTGGGGATAGTGGTCTTAAAATATAACCACCACGATATAAAATGATTTCATATTTGGAAGCATGAGGTTTACTGGCTGGTGTTAATGTTCTCTTTCTGCTGCCATAGTTATATTATTTTTAGCAATAACACAGAATGGGTTTGAAAAGAGAACTGCTGTTCTCATGTGGGATTATTGCTTTATTCTGAGCAAGTTCTTCCCTGGCTCTGTTAATTTGGTCTCCGATCTTTTAATCTCCCTGAGAATTAGCCTGGCTTTGAAAGAACATTTTGGAGGAACTTTCAGCTAGACATGCTCTTTCTGGTCAGTGATTATGAGAGCGTTGGGTTTGGTTTATTTGGCTAGGGACATCTGGGCTTTGAAAAGGCTGATTTTTTAAAAAAAAAGATTTATTTAATCATACAGAGGTGGGGTACAGGCCAGAGGTGCAAAGGCAGTGAGAGGATCCAGCAGAGACAGAGTGGGGAGCAGAACAGGCCGATGGATGAAGTACACTGCTGAGGGGAGCAGCAGGTGGGTCAGGGGAGGTCTGCAGCGCCATGTAGGTCACCTCTGCAGCGCCATGTAGGTCACCTCTAGGGCAGGGATCGAACTCATGCTGACGTGGCTTTAGCTTTTTAATGCTGTGCTTATTAACCCATTGCGCCACCAGGGAGGGCCCTGAAAAGGCTTATTTCATAGTCCCTCTTCTAGAAACTAGTCTGATGATTACTGGAACTTTTGTTTTCCTTTGGGCTTCTAACCCTGACCACTCTGTCCCTGGGCTACTTATTTGTTTCATTTCCTTAGGAGCTGATCATGAATAAACTTTTGTGTCCATTAGGCTTTATGTTCTTAATTTTGTAAGTCAGATGCATTGTTCTTTAATTTACAGCCATTTTTTTAAAGGCATTGGCATCTATTTTTTAAATACCATTTTCCTTGCACACCTACAGTATTAATAGAGTAATTTCATAGGTGTTCAGCACCAGTATATTAAATTTCCATTGTGATTTCTTTATTCATCACTAAGACATTCAGAACTATTTTTAAAATTTCCAGAAGACTGGGCTTTTGGCTTTTGTATTCTTCATCTGCGATAATTGAATTCCTGTGTTATTGCTTGTGTACTGAGAGTGGGAGTTTTTTTTGATAACATATCTTTGGAAGTTGTTAACATGCTCAGTTTTTGTTTATCTACCATTATATGCTTGAAAAAAATCTCTGTCCCCCAGTAGTTGGGTTTTGAGGTATATATCAAAGAGCCAACGTTCTTGAATTTATTCATCAACTCTTACCCTTTGCTAATTTTGTAAATTTGCTAATTTCCCTGCAGGGCCTATACTATCCGTTTTTGTGTGAACTAAGTTCACTTTCCAACTTTGGTGGTAAATTTATCTTTCAATACCTGAAACTACTTCCTAGTGAATTGGGTGATTGATGATTTGCAGTGACCCTAAGACTGGTCACGTAGTCCTGCCTTTGTGAGTGCTGTTCGGGATTGGGTTTGCCTGGCATCTGTTTCCTTTCATCCTTTTCTTTGAACCTTTCTTTCTAAAGATGTCTTCAGGGCTACCTGATTCCGTCTTTCAGTATAATCTCTCTGTTAATTAACAGTTGCCTTTAAATTGTTGCCATTTATGCCAGGAGTTCCTAATAAGATTTGGCATCTCCCTGGAAAATACAGAGAACTTAGGTTGCTGTCCTCTGACGTCTGAGTCTTATCCTCTTTGAACCCATGATGTCAGTCAGCATTATTATTTAGCTTGTTGAAATTTGCATACATAATAGCAGTGTCTCACCTCATCATTGTTCTTCTATCTCAGACCTACCTTCCTGAAGTACTTTCCTTGAAAGCATGGTGAAGATGAGCTGATGGTAATAGTTGCAATTTTTTCTAATCTAGACAGCTCTGTGTTACTCCAGCCAACCGCTTTCAGTATAAGCCATTCTAGAGTGACAGCTTGGAAGAGAATATTCTGCTGATTTTTAGCTTTCGAGTCGTTGCTCAGCCAGATGGCATTCCGTAGCAGGTCATCTGTCTCTGTAGCTACTTCTGAAATCTCCTGTTTGGTGTTGGCATTCTACAGTTTCCCTTAATCATTTTAGGAGGGATTTTTGAAAAATGTCTCCTGCTTGCTGTATGTTGTGTTGCGCTTATCTCATTTTAGGCTGGTTTCTCAAAAATTCTCAGCCATTATGTCTTCCTGTTCCCTCTTCATTTTCTCTCTCCTCTCTGGTGTCCCAGTGGGTAGTATGTTAGGAGTTCTCAGTCCTTCCTTCCTGTCTCTGATCTGTTGGGGAGAGCTCCATCTCCTGGTCCCTGGCCGGCCGGCGCGCTGAGTGATAGCTTCAGCCCTGTCTGTGAGTTCATTAGGCCTCTCTCTTGATCCACCCAGGGGCTTTTTTTCTCCCCTCAGCAAGTTCATTTTTCACTATTAAAAGGTATATTTCATTCCTTTAGAAAACTGGTTGCTTCTGATTCCATTTTGCTACTTGCTCATTTTTCTTCTGTCTTTGTTTTACCCAAAGTGATTGTACAGTCTGCATTTGCTGACTCAGTGTCTGCAGTATTAGTGGCTCTAAATATGTCTTTTGTTTTTCCTGTTTATTCACAATGGAGGATTCTCATCTGTGTTGCCTTTGATCTGGTTTTTACTCTGCACAAGTACAGGATGTGTTAGCTTTATTGAGATTGATTTCCTTTGCAGAGGGTTTGCTTCTGGTTACGTGGGCCTGAGGCTGCATGCACCTCCTGCCTTGATTTCCCACAGTGCTGTCCCACGCTCCTTTCCTCTCTGACCCTGCCCCACAGGTCCGCCTAATCCCCACTTGACCCCATGTGATGATGACTGCATCGTTCTCAAATTAACAACATCAAAATTTAAGCTTAGGGGTTTGCTTATTTTGTTCCTCCTCTTGGAGATTTCCCCTTATATTTAGTGATCCCAGGAACAACACACACACACATACACACATGTGCCTGCACATACACTTAGTTTGTAGGAGAACCCTTCAGAATGTCTCATCAGCCAACCTGGGAATAGGATCCAGAATGCCTTGAAAATGAAAAAGAAAGTAGAAGGAAGGAAAGAGGGGGAGAAGCGAAAGCAATACAGCCGAGCATTTGGGCAACAGAGACACAGAAGGCAGGACTTTTTAGGTGATGATCTTACCAGCCAAACATAGCATCTCAGTTGAGAACACAAGATCAGAGCCAGCACTCATAAAACACAGAGCTCATGAAGAGGTGGACAAACGTGACAGATCAGACGTGTGGGACAGCTGAGTGCTCACTGGTCAGGTTCCCGTCAGGCCAGCCTTCATGGGATGCACGTCTGGGTTTGGATGACCGAGCCTGGATCAATAGGGCTTCGCTTTACTGCGTCTGGTATTCTGGAAAAATATCCAAGGAGATCTTTGGATAAAGTATAGATAAATGCTATTTATGTTCTCACCTCTGATTTAATTTATCCTTATCTGCTTTTTTGAATGTTACTGTTGCTTAATACCCCAGGACAAGGTGTAGACGAACCCCTTTCAGAAACTGGATTTCAACAAGCAGCGGCTGCTGGTACTTTCCTTAAAAATGTGAGGTTTACCCATATTTTCTCCAGTGACCTCATGAGGACAAAGCAGGTAAGTCTAGAGTCAGGTTTTATGTTGATGAGTCAGAAGTTTTATCAGTCATATAGCCTTGAAAAATCTCCCAAACTCTTGGTACCGTTTTAAAAAACCCAGCTGTGTTGCTATGAAGAAATAAGTTATATGTCTGAAATATTCGTAGGAAAGAGAGAGCAGAAAAAATCACGTCAGATTAAAAAACAACAACCAGTTTCTAAAAGCTCAGTGGAAGGTGGCTTATGTAACAAATACAGGAATATAGCAGGGTTGGAATTTTTTTAAAAATATTTTATGCATACAAGAACGGAGGTACAGGCCAGAGATTTGGGGGTGGGGAGGTGAGAGGATTCACCAGAGACAGAGTGGGGAGCTGAACAGGCAAATGGACTGAAATAAACTGCTGAGGGGAGCAGCAGGTGAGACAGGAGAGGCCTGCTGTGCCCTGTGAGCCAGCTATCCCTGGCTGGGGATAGCTTCATAGTGATAAGAACTTAACCCAGGGAAGCCCCAGCAGGGTTAGAATTTGAACCTCCTTTCCTCACCATTAACAACTAGAAAACTGGACAAAATTTGTGGAACAATGGTTCTCAGACATTGGACTTCAGGCAGTATAGACCTCTAATCTTACAGTGAAGTGATTCTTAAGGGATGATGGGATTCTTCTACATCTTGATTTTGGGTATTGCTTAGATGGGCATATACATTGATCAAAACTCAGTGAACCATAAAATTAAAATAAACATAGTTTATTGTAAATTAAACCTCAAAGTTTATTTTAAAATATAAGGGACCAGCTTAAAAAAAGAAAACCCAAATAATAAAACCCTGGTGGATGTACTAAATCATAGGATAAACACAGCTGAAGTGATCTTTAACTTACAGATAAATCGGAGCTAGTAATTTAAACATGGCAGTGTGAGAGATGAAAAATACGAGGATTTAAAAGACAAGAGGAACATGAGGAGAAGGCCTAAAGGAGGTAGCGGAGAGAATCAGAAAGAGGCAGTATTCAAAGAGGTCATGGTTGCAATTTTACAGAGTTGCTGAAAGTTGACAAATGCTCACATCCAGGACGTATAACAAATCCAAATCAGGACAAATAGAAGAGAAATAAAACTGCAGAGCTCCAAGAATAAGAGGAGAAACATCATCCACTAAAGACCGACAGTAGACTGTCAGCAAACCTGTAATAGCAGTGATGATTCATTTATTTATGTACATAAGAACTGGGATGGTGCTTGAGGTGTAGGGGTGAGAGGATTCACCAGAGACAGAGTGGGGAGCAGAACAGGCAGACTGACCAAGTACACTGCTGAGGGGAGCAGCGGGTGAGACAGGAGGGGTCTGCTGCGCCATGTGGGTCACTCCCTGGCTGGGGATCAAACTCATACTGCTGTGGCTGGCAATAGCACTGTCTTTAACTTCTGTGCCATGAGGGAGGGCCCAGGTTAGTGAGTTTCGTACCCAGCAAAATAGATGAAATGGAGACATTTTAGACAATCAGATTGTAAATAAGCTTTCCAATGATAATTGAAGAAGAAAAATAATTCCATAAGGAAGCTTTGAACTTCAAGAATGGTGTAGGTGAATATAAATAAGTGTTGATGAGGTGAAGCAGCAGTAGTGATATCTCCTGAGGAGAGTGTGGGGAATTTAAAAGCAAGGCTGATTGTAGACAAATGTCTTCAGTTTTGCAAATACAGCAGTTCTTAGCCAGAAATAACCTGCACTCAATGAGCGAAGGAAACATGAACGGAGATGAGCCATATCCAAAAGGCAGCAGGAGTTCGCCTCATGCAAGCCGTTAGACACAGAACTTGAAATATGTCAGGTCTGGGTAAAAGGCAACATAAACAATTTCAGCAGAGAACTAGAAACTAGAAACAAGAACCAAATGCAAATTCTAAAAGTGACTGAAATGCGTGGGTTTAGCAGTATTTTAGACCACACATGAATGGAGAATTAATGAACTAGAACAAGGGTTAAAATTAATGAGCTGAACGGGAGTCGATGAACTAGAATGCTTTCCGTAAAGAGCTGAATTACAGTTAATTACATTTTGTGGGTTCCATGGTCTCTGTCACAACCGGTCAGGGCTGCTGGCGTACTGGAAAGCCTCCGTAACATCACTGACTGGCCTCATAAACTTTATTCACAAAAGCGAGCAATGGCTGGGTTCAGCCTGCAGACTGGGGTTTGCTGGCCACTGAACAGGTCAGCAGAAAACATCAGAACCGGGCATGGGAGACACAGGATGAATGGTACAGAAGAGAAGCAACTTTTGCAAAGGGAAATTGATTCTAGCACTTCTTTCTGCACTAAGATGGAATGCATATGTTGACATTTTGACAAGAATCATCATTTTTATGAACGCAGCAACAATTGTCTTGATTTTGCAGACCATGCATGGGATTTTGGAGAAGAGCAATGTTTGCAAAGATCTGACAGTGACATATGATTCTCGACTTCGAGAAAGGGTAAGTAACTGATACTGTCCTTTACCATAAGATGTTAATGAACCGACCCAGTTTATCACACAACGAAACAATAAATGCATTCCTGCTAGAAATAGAGTTTGCCTACATGGTAAGATGTGTGAGAAAATCACTGTTACATACTCTGACACGCACACTGTCTTATTCATTAAAAACCTATGAGGAGCTTAAATTACAAAAACATGATAGAGAAGATAAGCAAGAATTTAAAACAGTACAGGTTTTTTGTTGTTTTTTTTTTTAGTACAGAAGAGTTTAAGGTAACAGGGAATAGTTCTTTCCTTAGCCTCTGAATCATACTCCCTGATTTTAAGCACAAGCAGCTTTCTCATACCCATTTTATGTACCAGAAATGAATCTTCTGGAAGTTGTGGTTTAATTAAAGCCACGCAGCAATTTCAAGTCTGAGGTTTGACCCCAGCTCTCCTAGAACAGAGTGCCGTGTGCTAAGATAGTGACCTTAAGCTGACAAATGTCCCTGCCAGTCCTGTGATTCCTTCTATTCCTGGACGGAAATGGAGAATGACTTTGGGGATTTTGAAAGCCTTGCTTTTCGTGGCTCGCACATGTTTTCTGTTACAGGTCAAAATACATGCTACAGTTCAACCTTCAGCATGAACACTTCTTAGGCAAAAAGCTTGCTCTTTGCCCAGGAGTCAGTGCTCAGACACTGTCCAGAAAAGTAGCCTGAGCTGAGCAGAGCACAGTGAGCTGGGCCTCGCCTCGGTCTGTGCTGGGTGCTTCAGCCTCTGCTCTGATTTCTAATAGACGCATCCAGCTTCCTCACCCTTGTGTATCAAAGTGCCCTCTGTTGCGTCCCAGCTAGGGGAATGCCCTATTCACCCAGCTCCTCGCTACCCAGCGCCTCAGACCATCCACCTGGCCTCTCACTGCCCCCCACACGGCAGGGCCGACCTCCCTCAGACTGTCGCGGCATCACATCCTGCCAAAAACTGTCCTTGCATCCTTCACGTTTGTCAAACCCAGGGCTGTTGCCGCTCCCTGTCATCTCTCACCAGAATGGAGACTCTTCGGCTCCGTGTCTCACTCCTTTCTAATCTCCACGTTGCAACCAGAGTGTGCCCACTGGGTGAATCAGTTTACTTCTTTTTACTGTCAAGGGCTGTCTGAGCACCACCCTGCCTCCCACATGCTGCAGTGTGACCCGTGCCCCCTCCGACCCCCTCTTCCTTCCCTGTGCTTAGTGCTCAGGCTTAAAATTGGTGCTTAGAGGTCAGGTCCACGCGCAGGGTCTGGTGTGGTGGACCTTGGATTCCCACAGAGGCATCTGGCCCTGGAGTCCATGCTCTGCGCCCTCAGCCACGTGCCCCTCTCACGGGTCTTGTCCGTGTTGTCCACTAAGTCCTTTCCTCGCTCAGCTCGTGAAGCTGTTCTCCGCTGTGCCTGGAAACCTGGTCTGCAAACTAGGCCAGCTTCCTCTCACCCGAGGCTGGCTCCTCTGTGACTCCCAGTTCCACCTCTGTGGGTGCCATACGCTGCCCTCAGTCACGGGGCTTTGTCACTCCCTGCCGGGCTTGTCCCCCTGTCTGCGGCCATCTAAGCCCAGCTGCGGGCTCCCGGGGCTCCCCTGTTTGCATTCTTGGAAAAAGAAGGCAAGTGATGTGTGATGCCCCCGTTGGTGATAGCGGCTGCTGCAGGTGTGGTCGAGGGTATAAACGCTGGGGCTGGAAGATCAGGAAGAGCAGCGGCAACGTGTCTGCACGCATAAAACGAACACTTAACTGTTGTATCTGCCAGTAGTGTCAGAATCTCATAACCATCAGTGCAAACTATAAAGGGTGATTTGTCTCTTTAAGCATTTTATAATACCAGTCACTCATTATTGTAAGAAATTAAAAGTAAGAAGAGTTTGGGAAAAACTGTTAAAAACAAAATTTCTACTTTGCACACACGCTGTAAACATTTTGGTATTTGTGCTCTGACTTTTTCCATGTTTTTCTGTTAGTCTGTCCATCTTTCCATCCATCCATCTGATCATGAGTTTTTGTAAATGTATTATTTTGTATTACTTTGAGCACTGTATTATTTGAGGGCTGTGTTATTTTGAAACCAGTTCTTCTTGCTGTGTTTTTCACCACCCATAAATGTACATTAGTCATGTCACCTGTTTGATGACTGCATTATTCCAGTAACCGGACAGTGCATGACTAAAACACATTTCTCCTGCAGGACATCTAGATGGTGACTAAATTTTCCACAGGTACTGATAACATTAAAGTAAACATCTTTGTACACTTACCTAATAACATTTCTTACAAATGAATCACTGAGCGTGTTCTCTTTTTAAAAAAACTTATATATTTTTCATTTTGTATAGATATAGAATGTGTACGTATTTATGTGTGTATATATCTATATATATTTTGCTAAGTTTCCTTCCAGAAAAGCTGTGCCATTTTCTGCTTCTGTGAATGATCTGACTCATTGTGCAAACTAGAAGCTTCCAGCAGGAAGCGTCTCTTAACACAAACGCTAGATGTTACCGGCCTTTATAACTTAGTTCACTTGTGAAAGGTGCCATCTTAATTTTTCACATCATAGGTTTCTAATGAGGTAGATTTCCCCTGTTTTTGGTCACTTGTTTCTCTGTAACTTGTGTATTTCTTAGGTAAGGCTTGGTCTGTATGAACGGGAAAAACTAACTTTGAAGTCAACAGATTGGGTTTGAATTTAACTTTGCTAGTTATGGCTATAAGAGTATAGGCTGGTCGCGTGGCCTGTCTGAGGCTGAGCTTTCCCTTTCCTATGTATAGGCATAGAGTTGAGGCTCCCCATCCCACGGGCTACTGAAAGTACCTGGTGAGATGGTATGTGTGGCAGAGCTGGCTACTCTGGGCCTTGCACGTCTTGGTCTCTGCAAATCCCTGTATTTGTCCAATAAAGCCCCATTGCTACCTAGGTTAGCTCAAGCAAGTCATCCCATTCCATCCCCTTGGACATGGTGTGCAACGCAGCGTGTCAATGGTATTTTTCTAGGAGGTTCTTAGCCTTCTAGAGGAGCCTTCATAAAATGGAAGAGAGCTGATCGACTTCCTGGGATTGTGGTTCTACATTTGCCATAAACATGGACTTAGCTCAAGGCACCTGGCTGTACTGTAAATTCATTCAAGACACCTTTGTCTGTTGGACCATTACAGAAATACGGGGATGCCGAAGGCAGGGCGCTAAGCGAGCTTCGGGCAATGGCCAAAGCAGCTGGGGAAGAGTGTCCTGTGTTCACGCCACCCGGAGGAGAGACGCTGGACCAGGTATATAGTGTGGCAGGTTGCCATGGTGATAAACTTGCCTACACCACCACAACTAAAATCTGACTCATTGTGCAAAGTAGAAGTTTCCAAATTCTAGCTAGTCAATTTGAAAGTTCTTGGTTCATCGGGCAGCAGCACGATAGCACTTTTTTTTGGCATCATCTTGACTGTGAAGTTGGCAGCCATTACTGGCAAGGGATTTCAAGGACGCATTACCTGATGGTGTGTTAGATCTTCAGGCATCTGTAGCAGTAGCTTTAGCAGGAGCCGTGGTTGTCAGGATGCAGGCATGGTTCTGCCCAAGGAGAGTACAAATATCAAGAGGTGAAATAATTCAAGATTCAGAATCTTCTGGCTTGAATGCCTCCTGAGTTCTGTGAGTGGCAGGGGTACCAGGCTTGTATTTTGGAGAGTATTCTGTTTTTGAGTGACCTGAGGAGTTCCCTCCCCTACTCCATCCTTTATATTCAAACTTTTACAGAAAGGTTTGGTTGTTGTGCTAACTGAACCATACTGCCACATACTCTTTGATTAATGATACATATTTTTAAGGTTTATTTATGTATACATGAACCGGGGTACAGGCCAGAGGAAACGGGGGTGAGAGGATTCACCAGAGACAAAGTGGGGTGCAGAACAGGCAGATCATCTGAAGTACACTGCTGAGGGGAACAGTGGACGAGACAGGAGAGGTCTGCTGTGCCATGTGGGTCACCTCCCGGGCCAGGATTCAAACTGCTGCAGAAGCTGCAGATAGCTTCATAGTGCTGTGCTTTAACCCGTTGCACCACCAGAGAGGGCCCAAGTTAATGATATTTTTTACAGTGGGCTCCTGTTGACAGAATTACACTGAGTGCTTTGAAGTCAGGCATGCCCAGTTTGCTTCCCTACTTCCAGAAACTAGTATTATCTGGTTGGGACTACTGGTTGAATGAACAGGACAACAGATTGAATTTCATCTGCTTCGGTAGACAATCCAAGCACTTAACGTTTGATGTTGAAGTTGTCAGCCACTAATGCATCTCTTCTTTCTGTCCTTACAGGTGAAAATGCGTGGGAAAGACTTTTTTGAATTTCTTTGTCAGCTGATCCTGAAAGAAGGAGATCAGCACAAGCAGCTTTCCCAAGGAGCTCCCAGCAACTCTCTGGAAACTTCTCTGGCTGAGATATTCCCTTTAGGAAAAAAACATGCCTCCAAAATTAATTCAGACAGTGGCGCTCCAGGATTAGTAGCCAGTGTCTTAGTCGTGAGTCACGGCGCATACATGAGGAGCCTGTTTGATTATTTTCTGACTGACCTTAAGGGTTCCTTACCAGCAACACTGAGCAAATCCGAACTTATGTCAGTCAGTCCCAACACTGGGATGAATGTCTTTATCATACATTTTGAGAAAGGAAGAGAAGCCAAACCCACAGTTCAGTGTGTCTGTATGAACCTATTGGATCATCTAAATGGAGCGACTGAAACACGCTAAAATTAAACCTACAGCAAAATTAACAGTTTTGAGCCCCAGAGGGAGTGCCTTTAACTTTTGCTTTATTTATTTTGGTTCTCTGCTAGTGCAGATTTGGAAGCACTTAAAAAACTGTCTGTACTAGCAGGTTATAAAACACGAATGGAGTCAGAGCCACATGAAACACTAATGGAAAACCTATTGGAATTGACTTATTTTTCTCTGAGTACGGTTGGCATTTTCCAGAGTAATTTTACCACCCTGCTCAGTTACATCTCTGGATCATAAATGGATGAAAGAGCTCAGTATTGCAAACTGGGGGATTAAACACCCCTTTACTAGGTTTTCTTCCCTTTATTTCAGTGTTCAAAAAAAATCTTTTTATTGGCTCTTGATAAGATTCTGAATGTTTTATCCTGTCTTATCCAGTATCGGGGAGAAAGAACTAATTCTAATTCCCACTGCCTACTCATAGTGACAATATATGTTATATTTTTAAAGGCCTTTCAATGAAAAATGCTTGCTTGTCCTCATAAGTTTACAAGTTATATAAAGCAATGTGACACTAAAATGTTTAACATCAAAATGCACTTTTGGAATTTTTTGCTCAAGGGCTTAAAAGTGTGGATGAGTGCAGACTGATGGCAGAATGATCTAATAAAGAAACATTTCTATAAAAAGCATAAAGGAAGACATCTGAGCAGGACAAGAGAAAGAGCAGCATTTGTCTGATCTGTAGGCTGAAGACGCAGTTTGAGGAAGACTAAAGGAAAAAGGTTAATAGTGTAGGACCCAGTAACCTTAGGACAAAAGAGGCTGTTTGGTCAGGAAGACTGATCCTGTAAACCACAGCTGGCTGTGTGTGTGTGTATGCAGGGTACAGATGACATTGCCTCGTGTGTGTGCAGGGTACAGGTGACATTGCCTTGTGTGTATGCTCAGGGTATAGGTGACATTGCCTCGTGTGTGTGTGCAGGGTACAGGTGACATTGCTCGTGTTCCCACCAGATGGCACTGGAGAAAAGGGATTTTATTTGACAGTCTTGTATACATAAGATCAACCCTTCAGGAATCCGCATCTAGATGATTGTATTTTAAGTGTAGTTTGCTCTTAAGTCATGTTGATAACTACCACGTCTCAGTTTTTAAGAGGATATCACTTAAGCTGACCATTAAGGTTAAACTCAAGTATCGACAAATTTATTTTGAAGATCATTGAAAACACATATAAAGCTCAGTATTGCTCTGTCCTCAGTGTGTGACATTACTGACTTTCCATGGTATGAACAGAACATGTGCTGAGGTGCCAAAGAATGCACCCTGCAAATAGACACTTGAAAAAAAAGAACTGAAAAGGGCAAATAATAAACATCGACATTCCTGCCGTCCAGAAGTAAAAACTATCTTTAAAAAAAAAAAAAAGTCCCTGTGGTTGGTCCTCACTGTCCTGTCTCCACCTGCCCCCTGCAGAGGTGGCCAACGGCCTGTCTATGCAGGCGTCACACTTCATGTTTTCACCTTGTTTCATAAGGAAATGGTATTGCACATAAATAATCAAGCTGTAACTACTTTCACCTTGTAGATCCTGGCGCTCTGTGTTGATAGGTACAAGTCACGTGACTGAGAACCACTGAAACCTATTGAGTAAATACAACAAGTTCACTTGTGTTTTCTTGGCCTCTTGGGTATATTTAATGTTTTCCTGTACAAGCAAGTCTCAGGACGCAGCTTGCATGGCTCTTCCCGTGCTGGGTGGACAGACTGTGCATTTCCAGGCTGCAGGCGCCGGACGGCCTCACACGCTGTCCTGCCAGCAGTATTGGGCATTTCTGCTTTCCAGCATGAAGCCGCCTGACAAGATTCTATTAATCTAACAAGTGGAAAATAGTATGTTGCTATTTCTGTGAACTTTTTTCTGTCATTGCTATGAGTCTGGGCGTCTTTTTTCATGTCTGTATGGAAATTAGACTTTCCTAACTGAGAAATCACCATTTTGTGTTCTTTGCCTGGCTTTCTGTTGGGCTCTTTGGCTTTCTTAGTGAATTGCAGGAATAATGTTGTAAGTAGCTCCAAGTTGACTTGTGCTTTAGATTTTTTTTCCATAAAAATATTTTTAAGTCAGACCAATGTATCTTGTCCTTTGTGTTTTTCTCTTCCTGGTGTCTTTAAGAAGCTTCCTCTACAAACAAGGTCATATAATAGACTTTTCCTCCCTGATAGTTCTAGAGGAAATTTGAATACTAGTTCTTTAAATTATCTGGAATTTATTTTTATGTAATGGTATATATAAAATCAGAATGAAATTTCTTTAATTCATGTGGTGAAACCACTACTCCACCTTGACGATTGGGAGCCTTTTCTTTACCAGTAAATCTGTGAATCTACTCTGTTCATACCTGCAACACACCTGCCACTTGCTGGGGTCTTTCTCTAGACTGGTCAGTTTACTGATCTCTGTTTCTGTGACAGTAGTACCCTTAAATGCTGTAGCTTGGCAGCCACATAAATTATGTGGTGAGTACCTCCCCTTATTTATTTTTGTAGTTACATTAGCTATTTATGCACCTTTAATCCATATGTATTTCAGAATTAGCTGGTCAATGTGTCAAAAAATTCCATTGCAAAGCATTGCAGTTGCATGCATTTGTTTATCTAGTCGTCTAGTAAATACATTTTGTGCATGGCACACACCTGCCAGGCTATTATAAAAACTATTTGAACTATTATAAGAACTGAATATATAGCAGTGAACCAAAAATAACATGGTCCCCATTTCTCATGGAGCCTGTATTCAGTCAGGGAAGACAGATAAATATATGTCATGTCAGGGGGTCAGTGCGATTGGGAAAAGTGAAGCAGGATAGGGGAATCCAGACTGGAAGAGGAACACCGCTTCAGTTCGGGCAAACGGGAGAACTTAGAGCTATCCCAGAGCAAGGAAGGAATTCAGTGGCTGTGTGGATCCCTGAGACCAGCCACTCAGATGCGGAGTAGAGAGCTCAGAAGCCCGAGGAGACGCCCTACTGTGCATCTTTCCCCCATGCAAGCGGTGATGGAAGAACATAGGAGAGGACTCTCAGCCAATTGTGTGGGGGAGAGTTGTGACCAAACTCCTACAGGGCCATCGTTGATGGCTGAAGTCTGGTGGGGTTGGCAGTAACAGGAAAGGCTTGTTATTAAGAGAAGTGCTTCCCAGTTCGAAGCCTGGCTCGTGGTCATTTTATGGTGAGCAGGTCTCTTCATATTCCTGAGTCCCATGACCTGACATTAGGTGCAGAACACTTACAATAATGTGTGTGCATGCAGATAGCCTCTCAGCTTGCTTTATCAAACCTGCAGAAAACTTGTACGGATTATACAGGGAACTCCAGTGCATCCTTCACCCAGAGGTGCACACTGCTGCTGATGGTTTACCCCATTCGCTCTGTCATTTGTTCTCTGTCTTCCGACACCTGCCCCACCCTCTCTTTCCTTCATTGTCCCCCTCTTTTTTTCCTCTCATCTCCTATACTAAGCCATAGGAGAACGAAACCCCAGGAAACTGGGTATTAACACCATCTGAGCTGTAACTCACATGCGCGCTTCAATTTGGTCCATTTATCCATTTGTGTTCCTTATGGCTCTTTTCCTTCCCAGTCCAACACCCAACCCAGGACCACACGTTACCTTAGTTGTCCTGCCACTTTTTTGTCCTTTAATCTGGAATTGGCCTTCAGTCTTTCTTGGCTTTGTTAGCAAAAACATCATTTTCACACTATGCACGCCACAACGGCGGTGCCCTTGTGAGTCTTGTCGGGAGGTATGTGCTATTATTGTGCCATCTCCCTCCACATGAACTTGCAGTTCAGCTGGTTCCTTATGAACATTTTGCCCACTCTTGTAGACCCTGTTGGCTGTTTTCTAACTTTATTTACTGGTTGGTATTGTACATCAAGGAGGAACGTTTCTTTTTCTCCTACAGTATAAACTCAGTGGTTCTCTTCAACGTCTTTGAGTCCATTTCCATCAGTATTTACACTGACTATTCCCGTTTGTCCCGTAGGAACGCCTTCAAGCTGCCATTTTGTCCTGCTGACGTAGCCCATCATTCTGTGAACACTGGTTTGTTTTCTGGCTTCATGTGATGCTCCAGACTCATTCTTCTGCCCAGCTCCAATCCCAGGAAACAGTTACTTCTCCCAAGAACCCTGGGTTCTGCTAGTGGGAGTGGCATTTAGAAACTGAGATTTGGGGGCCAGGTATGCTGATTGCTAATCTATTGTCTTCATTTATTCTACTGAAGATCACTTGGATGATCTTTTAGTTGGGGGCTATTATGAGAAAGCTGTTATGAAATTTTTCCCCACAGGTCTTTGTGGCCCTAAGCTTTTATTTTTCCAAAGGTACTATCTAGGAGTACAATTGAGAGGCCTGGATAGGTGCGGTGTGTGCTTAGTATTCCTGGAATTTGTCAGATCTTCCTCTGGGGTGGTTGTGTCATTTTATGCTCACAAAGTGAGAGTTCTGGGTGCTCCCCATACTTAACAACATTCAATGATATCAGTTTTTAATTTGAGCAATTCTGGTGGGTATGTAATTGTATCTTACAGTGGTTTTAAGTTTTTATTTCCTTGTTAACTAATTGTGTGGGACCATTAGTTCTGGTGGGTCTTATATTTATTGGGTCTATATCTTCCTTTGTAGACCTTTTTATAAATTGTGTTTTTTTTTCTTATTGAATTTGAGTTCTTTCTGTGTATATGTTTCCTTTTCAGCTTTTTTCATGTATGAGTATAAACACACACACATACTTTTGTATATTTATAAATGTATTTCTGTCTGAATTTGTTAATAAAATGTTATTCTTACTAGTGCTTTTATGAGAAATTGATTTCATAATTTCTTCATAAGACTGCTTGCCATTTTTTTTTTTCTTTTCCCTGGTCCCTTATGCTCCTACTATGAGTGAAGCTGTCCAGTTCTTTTCTTTTTCTTCTGGCTTATTTCACTGAGCATGATTCCTTCCAGCTCCATCCATGCTGCTGCAAAAGGCATGTGCTTATCTTTTTGATTGCTGAGTAATATTCCCTTGTGTATATGTGCCACATCTTTTAATCCAGTCCAGATGTTTAGGATTTTTATGATGTCTTTAGTGAGTCTGTCCACCCTGCCTTAGTTAAATCTCTAATATGTGTCCGGAATCACTCCCAGTGCCATAGCAGGTGATCTATTGAGCCTTTCCCTGTGCATGTGTGGCCCAGCTGTGTGTGAAAGCTGCCCAGAGTGCTCACACCAGTGTCTGCATCCCTCCTTTACATGACTTCTTCCTCTTTTTCCCTGCCCCATGGAGTCTAGCTGCTTTCTTGGCTCAGGGAGATTGCCAAGCTGCCCATCAAGTTCTATGGCAGAAAGATAAAGTGTGTACAGAGGGGTGGAAAATTGTCATAAGATCTTTGCTTCCTGTGTCTGTGTAGTGGTCAGATAGAGAGTAAAGCAAGAATTCTGGGGACACTGACGTCAGATGGAGAAGACATGTGGACTCACTGCCTCCGTGTCCTGCTGTTCAGGCTCTAGGGGGTGATATTGAGTGTGTGAAGATCTGGCGTTTGGCTTCCTGGAAATGGATATGTTGTGCCTGTGCATATTTTTTCAAATAATAAGGTGCTCTTTATAAAGGGAGCAATTTAGAGCCAGAGTGATCAGCAATTCAATATTTATGAACATTTTTCTTGTTTTCAAGAATATCTGGTCATCAAAATTGCCATGTCCACTCACAAATGGACGAAATTTTGAATACTTTAAAAATCTGATATTCTGGGCCCTCCCTGGTGGCACAATGGGTTAAAGCACAGCACCACAAAGCTAGCCACAGCCTCTTCAGCATGAGTTCAATTCCCAGTCAGGGAGGTGACCCACATGGCACAGCAGACTTCTGTTTCATCTGCTGCTCCCCTCAGCAGTGTACTTCCTCAGTCCACCTGTTCTACTCCCCACTCTGTCTCTGGTGAATCATCTCACCACCCCTGCACCTCTGGCCTATACCCCAGTTCTGTAGGCACGAATAAATAAATCTTAAAAAAGAATCTGATATTCTCTTTCAATCTTGTCTTATCTAGGTTTTTCTCTCCCATCATCCCATTTATTCTTGTCTTCTGACATACTTTTGCAATTGTAATACAGAGAGGGAAAACTCACAGGAGCTGAGATAAACTTTATTTTTCTTTTAAATAGAAGAAAGAAGGCAAAGTTACATTTTTATAAATATATATAAATATAGAGTGATAGGCAAAACCTTCCAAATAAATAAATAAATACTGCCACATGCTGAGGGTCATAGGAAATGGGGGGTGGGGGGAGGGGAAGATACCTTAGATCAGTCGAAGAGAAAACCTGATAAATGGTACTAAGCTTGGAGATGACAACTTATTTTCCACTGAAGTTCTTTTCCATGTAGTTCTCAGTATGGGGGACCTTCTCAATGCTTTTATGCAGTGAACATCTCCACGGGGAAATGAAAACTATCAGGAACATGTCTGCCATACACTGCTATATATAATAATTACACAGAGTTTTAGTATTTCAGCACAGGAGCTGGCCCCTCAAGTGTATCTGGAAACCATCAGGGGCAACAGTAACCCAATGCTTCTCTCAGAAGTGAAAAGAAGGACCAGGAAGATTGGGTAGGTGGTATCGATGGGAAAACTGGAACTTGAAGAAGCTGTTTACATCTGCTGTGGTGGTTTAATCAGCGCTTTGAAGGGAAGAGGGGGAAATGGGACGCCTCATAGGAGAGGCTAAGCCACAGGGTGAGGGAAGGAGGGCCCAGCGTCCACGCCCCTGTCAGGTACTCAGCTATTAGGCCACTAGGGGAGGTTTTGTTTTCCTCAAGTAGCATCTGGACTCTTGAGTCTGAAAACTATCTTCATTGACTGCCTCCCAAATTCCCACGTGCATCCAGACCCAGACACGTCAGCCTCAGAGTGCTGCAGGTGTTGCAGGTGACCCTGTGGCACTGGAGTGGGCAGGGAGATGAAAGGCAGTGGCACCTGCTCTCTGCCCCCCTAGGTACTGGAGCCACCCCCAACCTGAGCCCTGAGACACCAGGACACGATTTTCCTGTGCCCAGTTTCCCTGCCCTGTATTTATAGAAGAGCCTATAGAATAATTTATAGAAGTAGCCTTCTTAATGCACCCAGAATGGTGCGTTACTCAACTTGGCAGCAGAGATTTCATTAAATGCCTTCTAGGAGAGTTTGAACTTGTTTCCATTTTGAAAAATAAAGCCTAGCAGGGTGGAGCCAATACCAAATGCTCAGGTCCAATTCACTAAGTCAAAGAGGCAGGCTGTGCCAGGACCAAGGGGGCCCCAGGGGGTACCGGGCCCCCCAACTCTGGCTGTGTAGTGGGAGTGGGCAGGCAGGAGGCGTCGTGCAGGGAGAGTGTTTAGTCCCATTTCCATTCTCCAGGGCAGTTTAGTTGCATTTTGACCCACCACGGACCCTTTTGGACACCTCTCCAGTGACGCTAGAGGAGGACCAGTTCAGCTATTGCTGGCCAAGGTCAAGGTTGCAAGCTCAAATGCCAACCTCAAATGCCAGGTGGAGAACAGAAACCCAAGGAGGCGTGAAGAAGCTGCTGGCATTGACTCCTTAATCGTGGGCGCAGTGAACCACCAAAGCTTTGCTTCAAATGCTGAGCTGATGAAGAGAGGCGCGGGGAAGAATAAGAGAGTCCAGGGCCCCACAACCCTCTCTGGTGAGGGGAGATTTCTAGGTTACCCATGGGGTTTCGTGATTCACCCTCACCCACAGGTGAAGCTGGGAACGCACTAGGCCTCAAAGGCAGATTCTCAGGGGACCTCCTGGGAAGGGGAATGGGAGTAGGGAGAAGCTAATTCCATACATCGGCCCCACCCGCCCCTTCTGTGAAGCCTAAAAGACATGCGGCTCTCAAAGCGAGTTTAGTCTGGGGAAAGATTAGTTAAAAAGGGCCCCTTCCTGGTCTGCCTACTCAAACTTGGGAAGGGACGGCAGCGCTCCGCGCCCATCCCGCCCACATGCGTGTTGACCCTGTTGCCTCTGACTACCCCTAAGGGGTCACTGGCCACCAGGCTGTTATCCTCGGCGCTCGGGAGCTCCTGGGAGCAGGAGGCCGGCGCGGGGGTCATCCGGGGCCGGGGCTTGAGCACATTCAGCGGGTCCAGGTCTGAGTTGTCCTCAGCGCTGCGGGTGTGGCGCCGAGGCCTGGGCGTATTGAAGTGCAGAAGGGGGATCTCGTTCTTCCGAGACAGGAACTGGGAGTAGGGTGGAGGGTTGGTGCCGGGCAGATAGGCCCTTTTGGGCCGGCCCAGGCTGACCAGGAAGTGGAGCTGCGGGGAGTGGTAGACGTCATAGCCGTTTTCCAGCCTGCGCTGGCGGAACCTGCAGCTCTCCGGGCTGAAGAGATGCTGAAAGAGCAAACGCTGGTGAGGCCGAGAGTCTGGGCCCTGGCCCCACCCCTGCCCACGGGCTCGGTGCCTACGGGCCCCGGTACCCACGGGCCCCTGACTCGCTCCCACACCAGGCAGGCAGAGCCATAGCTCTCCTGGGGCCTGCTTTCTGGAGGGAGGCTACTTTAGAGCTGTCCACCATGTTCCTGTCTCTTTGTCTATACAAAGCAGGTGGGAAGGCGTGTGTATGGTCAAATACAAACCAGGGTGCTGGCACCAGGGATGTACATAACCGGAAACTAGGGGCAAGGACTTGTGTGAGAGACCCCCTAGAGGTGAGCCTGCCCCTGCTCAGTGCCAGATTTCACCCGGTGCCTTCTTGGGCCTTCACACCTCATTTCGCTTCACCCTCAGAAGCCAAGGTGAGGATATTATAGATGACTAGCTGCGTGGCTGCCAGCAGTTACTAACGTTGATTGCCCATTTGTTTGACAGATATAATTCTGCTCTGGGCCGGATGCTCTTATAGTGCTGGGCTAGAGTCGTAAGCAAAAGTCGTTGCTCTCATGGAATTCCTACTGGGTCTTTCTGGTGGTGAGACGCTCCTAAGAGAAGCAGTTCTTTATTTCACTGTTTCTCAAAGCCTTTGGATTATGTCTGCCACTATAGTGACTCCTCAATCTGGAGGACTCACCTTCACAGAGAATTATAGATCTTTCTAAAGGGACCCCCACAATGGCCCATCTGCTTCTCTTTTCAGGGAGAGGCAAGTGAGTTTAGGGAAGTAGGAGGGTTAGCCCAAGGTCAAGGTCAAGAAGGTGTGACTGCAGAATTATAAAGAGAACCATGGCTTCCTGCCCTTTCTCAGGATGACACCATGAGGGGACCCGCAAACCGGGCGCTGTGCTAGACACAAAAGTGGGTCCCAGCAGGCAAGCCTAAGCTCCAGAAGCCGACCGCCTGGGTTTGAACCCCTGCTGTGTCAACCTGAGCTTCTAATGTTTGGACTAAGTCAAGCACTGAGTGGAAACATTCCAAGTTCCATGGAGTCGTTAAGCTGTAATTCTCTGATGGGTCAATGAAACTCATCGCTTGCCGGGGTGCCCCGCACAGCAAGGAACTCACAGATCCGAAAATGTGGCCCCTGAAGTCCATGCAGAGGTACCTTCTGCTCATCACGCCCGTGATCACCACAAAGCCGGGATCCTCCGATCGGATCATCAGGGCACCTGTGTGGATAATCCTCCAGGTCACACACCGGCCAGGCATCCGGTTCCCACTTCCACGTCCCCTTAAACACCAGCCTTCATGGAAGCACCTTTGATTTGCAGGGGAATGGTGACTTCCGTGCCCCTCCCCTTGTCTGCATTTATTCAGTCTCGTTTCTTCTGACGGTCCCGTGTCCCCCTCCCTGGGCTTCGTGCCTGAGGGACATGCTCTGAGCTCCCCAGGGTGCTTGTGTGCTGGGCTGTCCTACAGATTAGCCGTCTGCCTGCCCAGTGCCTCTTTGGGGGTGGCATTCTCCCAAATCTTCTGCTTTTATGATTTTAAAATCTGCTAGGCTGCCTTTTGAGGATCCAGCTGGTATACAGAGCCTGAGAGTCTCCATCCAGCAGTGTGGTAGTCTATGATGTATTGGCCAGTGCCCATTATCAGTCAAGGATGATCTTAGAGCTGACCTTCCTCTCCCTTCTCGGCTTGCTGATGCCACTGAACATCAAGGTCAGATTCAGAAGTCACCTGAGTCTGCTAATCTTCCTCATCAGAACGAACTGACCCTTCGACTCAGCTCCCCCAGCGCCTCAGCTCCCCAGCTGCTGCTCTCCTGCAGCATGAATTGCATCTATCTGGCCTTACCAAGCCTATGTCGTAGCATTTCCCTAGAACAAGCTACTCAGGAGCAGAGGTTTATCTCTGCAGGTCGAATAGATCCCAGGGAGGCACTGAATTTTCTTTTTGGGTTCTTCTTGCGGGCCTTTGTCCTTTACTCATGGGTGGTGTCTCCTTGAGGTCAAGTCCCTCATGATCTTCCAATGCTCCCTCTCATAATCTAGTTTCTAGCAGGGCACTGAACCTCACTCATACTCCCTATGCCTTAAATAATTCATAAGAGCTCTCAGTGTGACTCCTGTGATGTCTTCATGGGAACCTGCAATTTTCACCATTGGTTAATCAATGACTAGTTACCTAAACTAAAACTTTCTGTTTCATGATAAGAGTATACAATTCCGCAAGACTTCTGCCCACATGCTGTTTAATTATCTATCAGTTTCTGTGAAGACTCTTGAAGGCTTTTGGGGCCACTTCCACCAGCCAACCACAGAATGTATCAACATGTATCTTGTTTGGTCTCACAGCCCACAGGAAGGTAGCCTAGGCAGAAGCTTGCACCCCTCTTCTATAAGTGCTCAGTATCTGTCCTAGAGAATGGGGAGCATGGTGAGGTGGTCTACAGCTCAACTAGGCTCTACAAAGACTTCTGAGGAGCAAAGCAGCCAATACTCAGATGCTACCTAGATACCTCAGATGCTGAGTGGCATGGCTAGGGGGATGAGGATGGGAAGGCAAATGGAGGAAAAAAGAGGATAAGAGAAAAGGCAATTTGCTTCAAAGTTTGGCTAAGTTAGCCCTAATGGAAGCTTCTAGAAGGGAGTGGGGTATGGGAAGTGGAGAAGATATTAAGTTACTCCATAATGGGTCTGGCTATCTTGCTCAGACAAGTGGCTACTTTTGTGGTAAGCCCTGGGAGAAAAAGAAGGAATCTATAAGAAAACTTCTGCCCTGGTGAACTTTCCGTGTAGTTAGGAAAACATCACACTTAGCGACTACTATTGAGTTGTTGTCCTTTATGTTCTTTATGCATTTTAAATTCTCTAAACAAGGGTTACATCATTGCAATTGCTCCCATTAACATTGGGGATAGCACCAATTTTTACTTAAGTGATAAGAAAACTAAGAAAATTCAAACGCAGAGCTTAACTTGCCTCCAACAGAAATCATTCCAAACTCGAAAAGACAACAGCAAACCCCATCGCCCCTGAGTAGGTCGGAGAAAGGACACTACCAGGAAACAAGGGTCTTGGGTTCAGGCCCCAAGGATGCCACCTGCCAGCTTTGTAACTGCATGGCAGTATGTGGGACAGAAGTTCCTGCTCCCAGCTCCTGTCCCTACAGAAAACAGCCTGCAGAGGAGCTGGGAGCAACTGCCAGGAGGACACACCCACTGCAGCAAGCCCACAGGAGCCAAAGCGGAAGTCGAGAAAACGTGAGAGGCAGATTGTCTCTTCACTCTGCACAGATCTGGGGGTAGCGCTGGGCAGAAGGAAGGAACGTGTTCCTGGCTGCCGAGCCACAACCTGTGGGAAGCAGGCAGGCTCAGGAGACAAGTCCTTCTGTAACTGAGGGTGTCTGTGCCTTCACCCTGGAGAAGTCTGGGGTTGGGGTTCAAGGTGTCCTCAAGGTCCTTTACTCCCTCTGAAACCAAGAGCCAGTTATCCAAGGCCGTTACCCTTTATTTTCTCATGTACAGTACAAGCACATCATTTGGCCATCTTGGGCTGCCATTAGATAATATATATTTTTTAAAGATTTATTTATTTATTCATATAGAACTGGGGTAAAGGCCAGAGATGCGGAGGGTGAGAGGACTCACCAGAGACAGGGGGGATGCAGAACAGGCAGATCACAAAGCACACTGCTGAGGGGAGCAGCAGGCGGGTCAGGAGAGGTCTGCTGCGCCATGTGGTCACCTCTGGGGCAGGCGGGAATCGAACTCATGCGGAAGTGGCTTTAGCTTCTCAGTGCTGTGCTTTAACAGGCTGCGCCACCAGGGAGGACCCTAGATAATATTTTTATCCCCTACAAACACTTTCTAAATGCCACTTCACTTCTACCTTGGCCTTAAAAGTAGAAAGTGATCCATCTATTCTGTTCTCCTAAGCAGCAGAGAGTAAATAAGATGATAGCTATAAAGTGCTACCGCTCCTCAAAGGAAAGAGAATATTTTTGAAGGATAATGCCTCTGACCTCAGCGCTGAGCTCCAAGGAAGCATCTGGGGTGCTGCTGTCAACACCATCTCCAACAAGCCAAGAAACACTGGGTGCTTGCCTATGAGTCAAGAATTTACTAAAGCATATAGTGACCCGGATTCCATCACAAAGGTGCAATAGTTACAAGGCAGAAAGAATCCACCTGTCCCAGCTGTGTGCGGGCTCAGCCCTGTCACGATTCTCTCCATAGCTGCACTATCTACCTCTTTTCTTTCTGCTAAGTTTTTTAGCCTACGTGTGTAAATTTGTGTGTGTGTATACACAGTCACTCATTCAAAGGCTGACTAAACTGAGTCTGTATTATTTCCAGAGGCACAATGATTAGCTAGTGTCTACACCTGACCAAACTAAACTAACCTCACATTTCTATTAAAAAAAAAAAATCCCAGCTAAAATTAGTTTAATTCATGTTCCTGCTTTCTAGTTATTTAAATTCGTTCCAGCTAGTTATTCAGTGCCTCCTCAGCTGGTGAGCATTTGAGGGGAAAGTCTTTCAATTCCCATTGCTGGCTTGATGTGAATTCTACTCTTATTCCATTCACATCTCTAAGAGCCTGGGAGCAGGATCGGGGGAGGTTCCTTTCAGTGAAGGGACTCCATGATTCTAAGCAACTTTTATAAGCATTTTCTGTTTGTATGCAGCTCTTTCCATCTATGGGAGTCAAAATAATTTACCATACTTCACCATCTGGCACTTAAAATCACTTACCATCTTCAGTAAAATTAAGGGTGGGTCTTCCAGGAGAGTGATTACCTAAGAGCTTAAAAGTGAGGCAGGAGAGGAGAGCAGGGATGAAAGACTGTGAGGTGCTTGATGGGCTGTGTCTTCTGCTGTGCCAGCCCCCAGCTTAGTGCTGAGGTCAGGGGGCCCCCTAACACCTGATTTGCGAATCAGCTACCTTGTAGATTGTTATCCACACATTGAATAGAATGAGAACCTCTGTGGTTGCCTCAAGTGTGTTTAGATTTATTTTATTTCTGCCATGAGACTCAAATTTGACTTCAAGATGTTGACTCCTGAATCCTGCCAACATGTGAAGTCAAACTTGAGTCTAAGAGTTTTGACTATTTGGACCCTTCTCTTCCTCCTGAGCTCTCACATCACCCTCCACTGTCCCTGGGAAATTTCTCAACTGCTGACTTTGCATGTCACTTTTCTTACTACCAGGTGAAAGGACCTTGGGTTCCTAGCAGTGAGAAGGCTTTGCAAATAGCAAGCCTACAGCAAAAGATTGCCACATTCACTGTGGTGATGGCACATGGGTGAGTTGGTGGTAGGAAGTCCACAGGGATTGCAACTGAGATGAAAAATGCACAAAATGAAGAAAGATGTAAAAATAAATAAATATATTAAAAAAAAAAGATTGCTGCATCCATTAAAACAACACAGGGCAGATCATTCTTCCTAAAAGAGTTTTCTTTGATTAAACAGACTGCAATTACTCTTTCTTTGATTTGATCTCTATCAAATCTGTTGGCATTTTCTTGTATCTTTGGGGTAATTTTACATATTATTCTAAAATAGAAGATCTGGTCTTTTCTCATATCTGCCTCGCATCGTACTGCCTCTTATATAGTCCATGCAAAGGGGCCCTACTGGCTCATAGTTCACTGATCGACTCTTGTGAATTGTGCATCAACTTTGCACAAACCTGATCTTTTAAAAACACCTCAATTATGTCATATTGCCAATGTGTTCCTAACGAGTTCCCCAAGAAAGAATTACCGACTCACAGCAAAATGGGTACCTCGAAGTTCCCAGGAAAGGTGTTGAATGGATGGTGCACGGATGGGTAGGTAGGTGGTGGTTGAATGGATGAGTGCATGGAAGGACTGTGCACTTGGCCAGAATCATCAAGACCACCTACCTGGAAAGTCAGCCTGAGACTATGTTTTTCCTGAGAACTTTCATAAGACCATAGCACTAGAAACTCAATGTAGAAAGAGACCCTGAGGTCATTATTCAATATACGCACACACACACACACACACACACACATGCATGGATCTTCTTTACAAACTTCAAGGCTAACTCAGTCCGGAATCATGAGCTAAAACATTGTCTGTTGACCTGTCTGGTTTCTTTTCCCTTCGCCCCCTTGCTGTTTTTTCTACACATTTTTTGGACTTTGAATAGGGCAAAGAGAAATTGGTTATTTTGGGAAGAGGGTTGTTAGTGAAGACAAATTACTCATATTGGAGAAACCGGTAGACACTGGTTAGAGCGGCAGCAGAAGCTTCTCACAGTTAACACACATGCACAGGGATTTGAGAAGAAGCTAGGAGGCTGACTGTCCCCTGTTGCACTTCAAGTCCTCCCTGAGTCCTTTGAGGTGGACTCCCCCTTCTTCCCATCGGGTGAGACCAGATGGGGCCCTACTCACTGTAGATGGTCTGCTGGGGTGTGCCATCCACACGGCCATCTTGGTGGATCTGCAGGTGGTAGCTGTTCCTCTCTGTGGCGGTGTACAGGTGGGTCAGGTCTCCGGTGCTGGAGCCCAGCAGCGGAGAAGCATTGGGATAGGCTCTGGCTGCACAGCACAGGAGGCAGACCAGGAGCCCCAGGCGGGCCCCCCACATCATGGCTCTCTGAGTGGCTGGCACTGAGCTTGAAACCTGACACTGCCTCCCAGACTTGGGCTGTTTCACTTCTTCCTTTGCCGCCGGTGTCTGGCGGGAGGCTCCCAGGCTGGATTCCCTCCTTTATCCCTCAGGCTTTTAAAGAGTAGCTCGTGACATCAAACAGGAAAAACTCCACTGTCCACATCCTCTGTGTAATCAGCCCATTAGAAGAGAGTGCAGAGACCGCCGAGGCTTACGGAAGGCGTGTTGGTCACACACACACACACGCGCACACACACACACCCCTTAATTTCAAGCCAACTTCCAAAAAATGAATGATGTGTGGGCAAAAGTTATCTACACCTCTGGGTTGTGTGTTGACCTGTCCCACTTCCACCAGGAAATGTGAAGGCAGCAGCCGTTCCCAAAACACCCGCCTCAACCATGTAGTCAACAGGCTCCTATGCAATTAATCTCCCATCGAGTCCACTCATTTTGGTTTTCCCGGTGCTCTGAATTCCAATCAGGAACTCCATCCAGAGCTTTCCCTGCACAGCACTAAGTGGGTGTTGTGAAAGGTACAGAAATATAGTGTGCCGTCAGGCAAATGGTATCCTTGGGGACCCCTTTCGCTGGGGGCTGGGAGCAGAGGCACAAAAGCCAGAGTTGCCATCTTGGGGAGATTCCAAGTAGGGGAGAAAGAAAACAAGGCCTTGAGGTCATGGCTGCTTTATAAAACATTGGAGCCTCAGTTTCCCTCATTTTGACAGTCTAGGGCAATTGACTTGGTATGGCCTCTCAACAGCAAGAAGAGGACCTGTGGGTCAGCTCCCTGGCCGGGGATGGAACTTGTGCTGCAGTGGCTTTGGATAGCTTCATAATGCGGTGCTTAAACCCGTTGTGCCACCAGGGAGAGCCCCTGACCTGCTTGCTTTTTGCAGACGGTCTCTTATTTGATCTCCCCAGCAACTCCATGAGATAGTAAGAATCCCCATTACGAAGAAACTGGGGATCAGCACATGACCTGATAAGTTGCACACTGAGTACGTGGCAGAAGCGGGGTCAAACCCAGCTCTCCTTGCCCTGCACTCAGAGCTCTGCCCACCTAACCACACCCAGACGGTGTCTCCAGTGGGTACCTCTTCATTTACCAAGAACCACACCGCAGGGCAGAAGCTGGACGGGCTGCAGGGAGAATTTGGGGACACAGTTGGCAAAATTCGGTACCCTGAGAACAAGATCCCTTCCGGGTGAACCCTAAAGAGTTGTCTTTTTTTTTTTCCCAAGGAGGGGAAGGAAAGAGCAATGTCTAGAGTGCTTCATTATTCTACCTGCTGACCTTTGCTGGCTGACCTCAGCCATCTATGACCCAGCCCAGAGAGAAGAGTGTGATGTTTCTGACGCTGGGATTCAACCCGAAGAAAGAGCAGTGGAAGCAGTGGACTGCAGAGGAGTGCATGTGAGCGTGAGCGTGTCCACACCTTGTGCGCAGCCACACGGTCTGCTTGATCTGATTGGTGCTCAGAGGCTGCCCATCAGGACCCAGCCCGCCCTACGTGCCTGGAGCTTGTCACGCAGCCCACGAAGGGGAGCAGACATCCTGGTGCCCACTCACCTCTTGGAGCTGGTGACCCAGTCCCGCCCACCACGTTTGGGATTCTGCACATCCGGACCTGTTATCTCGGGATTCTGGGGCTCCTTGGCTCGCCTGCCCTGCCTGCTCCTCCCTGTGGACACGTAGCCACTGCACACTTCTCGGAGGGCTATTTCTAGCCGAGGGGCCGTCACCCTGCTGGGCTGCCAGGCCAGGCTGGCTGTGTGCTGCAGCTGGGACGCACGGCCTGACACGTTGTGGGTTCAGCAGAGAGCAGGATGTCAGGGGCTTCCGGAGCCAGGCAAACCCCCGGCCCGCTGGAGGTCATGGCTGCTGCGCTGTGGGGGTGGGGGCAGGCAGGATGCTCCTCTACTCCGCCCGCAGGAGCTGGATGCCTCCTGGAGCTTGAGATCAGCCTGCTCACTCCTGCAGCAAGATGACCCCCTGCGGCCAGATGCACCCCCAAGGTGAATCTCAGACCGACTTGGAGTTAACAGATCCGGTTGTGGGATCCAGGCCGTGGGGCTCCGCCCTGGGTGGGAAACCAAGTGGTTCCCACAGCAGGCTGCCATCTGCCTTCTTTCTAAGAAAGGAGATACGCAGGATACACCGTACAGTCGGGACAGAACACCGTCGCATAGGGGAGTGGCAGCGGGCCCTCCACGCCCAGGGCAGGGATTAGCGAGTATCCAGGAGGATGCTGCCCTGTATGGTTGATGACAGTATTTAACCGTGACATTGGGACGCATTGTCTGATCTGTCTCAGCATGCATGGGAATAACGGGACAGGATATCTGAGGTTGATTCCGTCTCCGAAGGTCCAGAACTTGTGCTTGCTGTCCCTGTAGCGATCAGCCTTCCTTGCCTGGCTCTGCGGTGCCTATCAGAGAAATTTAAGGGTCAGAAGTAAAATCAAATACTGGGGACAGGCCCTCCCAGGTGGCGCAGCCTGTTAAAGCACAGCACTGAGAAGCTAAAGCCGCTTCCGCATGAGTTCGATCCCCGCCTGCCCCGGAGGTGACCACATGGCGTAGCAGACCTCTCCTGACCCGCCCGCTGCTCCCCTCAGCAGTGTACTTCATCGATCTGCCTGTTCTGCTCCCCACTCTGTCTCCTGTGAAGCCTCTTGCCGCCCCTGAGCCTCTGGCCTGTACCCCAGTTCTGTATGCATAAATAAATAAGTCTTTAAAAAAAATACTGAGGACAAGCGAGGCGTAGTGTTTACCTAGTCCATTTTCAGATAGAGAAACTGATGGTGACGCGAGAAGTGTCTTGTCTACAATCATAGTCAGCAAGAAAAATTGGTTCTTCTAGTAAAACAACTAAGCACCCAACACCAGCAAGATCACAGTGAGCTTGTACTCTCCTTTTCTGGATAAACAGTAGTATTCAGTTTCGTTGCATTTTTCTCTTCCTTCTGCACTGACCTTAGTTTCTAACCTTAGTTTCACTCATAAACCCCCAAAAGAATACTCATTCTATCGCCTTAGAAGATCCAGGAAAAAAAGAGGTCAAAATCGTCAGTAATTTCATACTCCACAGATCCTGACAAGTGTTAATATGTTGGAATTCTTCCTTTGCCACACGCATATGTGATATTATGTATTTAGTATTGTACCATTTTTTAAAAACTCAATAGTATAGAGCATTTTCCACACCATTAAAGCTCTTCAAACGCATAATTTTTTTTTATCTTGGTAATTTTTAAGGTCACCAAAATAATACTTATGCTTGTAAAACCTGAGTATTTATCAATAGTCCTCCTGCAAGGAAAAAAAAAATACACCAACAGTCAGCAGATTTATCAGAATTCGTTGAATTATAATCCTGTTGTTGGACATCCAGGTTGTTTCTATTATTAAAGATAACATGTTGATGAACATCCTCGCACATAGATTCTATTCACATTTCTGATGATTTCCTTTGTGTTGATTCCTAGAAATGAATTTACTGGGTTAAAGGGTATACATTTTTTTTAAAGCTCCCATGCATAATGCCAAATCGCTTTCTGGAAGGACTGCACAATTAATATTCTCCCCAGCATTTTAGGAGCAACGCATTCCATCCTCACCAGGATTTCTGAACCTCTTTCAGCCATTTTGCAAGGCAGCAACACAGTTTAGCAGAAAGCATAACAGTCAGAGGCCCAGCTAATTTTTTTCATACCCAAAGGGGCAGGTTTATTATAACCTGAGGAGAAGAGTTAAGAGCGCGAGTGGACAGAAGGAGCAGCCTTGAAAAGAGAGACTGCAAAGTCCCCGCTGGGCAGCCTCGGGAAGGGAGCTTCCTCTGCTGCTTTGCAAAGGGAGGTCAGTGAAGAGAAGCACCTGCATAGTCCCAGGTGGGCAGAAGAGCTGCTGCCAGGGAGAAGGTGGCGAAGAGACACCCATGCATAGGCAACATGGGCAGGATTGCTGCCAGGCCCAACTGATTTTTTTTTTCTAAAGATTTATTTATTTGTACATACAGAACTGGGGTATAGGCCAGAGGCTCAGGGGTGGCGAGAGACTTCACCAGAGACAGAGTGGGGAGCAGAACAGGCAGATCGATGAAGGACACTGCTGAGGGGAGCAGCGGGCGGGTCAGGAGAGGTCTGCCGCGCCATGTGGTCACCTCTGGGGCAGGCGGGAATCGAACTCATGCGGAAGTGACTTTAGCTTCTCAGTGCTGTGCTTTAACCCTCTGCACCACCAGGGAGGGCCAGACCCAACTAATTTTAACTGGGCCTTGTCAGAAGTCCAGGTGTGGAGTTTTAACTTCACCAGAACTTGTACGAGACCTTGAGTAAGTCACTGCACTTTTCAATTTACTTAAAAATACTGTATTGTAGTGTGGGTTACCTGCCCAGTAATTAACTCCGCTTTCCTCTTGTCTAAGAGGACTCTGAATCGCCCAGATATGCACCCCTCCTCTGTCACACTGCAGCACAGGCCACGTGTCCCCACACCAGCCCCAGGGGATGCATGCTGGCTCAGCTGAGCAGTGATTCTCAAACACCTTACTCTCAGGACCCCTTTGCACTCTTAAAAATTGAACTCAGGCCCTCCCTGGTGGCGCAGTGGATTAGGACACAGCACTGCAATTGAGCCGCAGCTGCTTCAGTGTGAGTTCAATCCCAGTCCCCGGAGGTGACCCACATGGCGCGGCAGACCTCTCCTATCCCGCCTGCTGCTCCCCTCAGCAGTGTACTTCGTTGATCTGACTGTTCTGCTCCCGACGCTGTCTCTGGTGAAGCTTTTCGCCGTCACTGCACCTCTGGCTTGCACCCAATTCTGTATGCATAAATAAGTAATCTTTAAAAAAAAATTGAACTCAAAGAGCTCCTGTCTATGTGGATTATATCTGTTGCTGCTCACTGTACTTGACACCAAAACAGAAAATTTTAAACCATGAATTAACTGAAAGATAACACCAATGAGTTCAT